TTCCTAACACTGTGTTTTGTGTTAATTCTTGATTTTTCTGGCTATATTATGTGATTCCATGGCTAAATTTCTGAAAAGCTCCAAAAGTTCATATTTATTTCTGAAATTGAGACCAGATGACAGGAAATGAAATGAATGCAGTAAGAATTTACTTCTAATGGCGCTTGCTAAATTGCATAAACCTCTAAATACTGAACGAGCAACATTCAAATTTTCCTTTCATTTTAAACAAACGCGTCTTTTTCCCTTCGGAATATTCTTTGTCCGGGAGCTAGGATTGCTAGTGGATCATAATTCAATTTCCTCCTCTGAAAAACTTCCCATTTAGTCCCGAAATGATCTTTCCACTCCACTTGTGTAGGGTAACGGGTCAAATACCGTTTAGCCGTGATATTGGAATTTCGGCAAAAACTTAGAATTTTTTCGTTTTGCTTTAAGTAATGTTCTAAGCTATCATTCCCAGTAGAAGATGGAGTTGCCGAGTATAGAAATGCAACCATGTAAAACACATCCTCGTCAGGCGTGATTAAGGATGTGCCACGTATCCACCTGTCATTTTTTTCATTTTTATTTTAAAATATTTTTTTTTAAAAAAACTTAACTATTAATTCTGTCTGAGAAGTTATACCTTGATTGGTTGACAGGATACATCAGGACAGGACCATTGTTGGTATCTTTGACAATCTTTCCGAATACTCCATGGGCAAATTCGTCAATATCGTTTCTCGGGATTAGAAGGTTTAGCCATGGATGTGGCACATCCCACAAACCTTTTTCCCGGAGTTTTATTTCCGAAACGTGCACTCTGTCCAGAAAATCGAGATACGAGACCTCCGTAAGAAAAAGTGTCGTCTCGATATAATTCAGTTCAGACAACAGGACATCTATTTCCTGCATGCAGAGTAAAGAGAAATGAAAAAAAAAAATAATAATAAAATTAAAGCATATCCTTAGATAAATAAATCCATTGTCTGTTAGTATGTGTTTGGTTTGTGTTATTATAATTTAAAAAATCTCACCTGATCAATGTAATCCTTCTCTTCAGGATTGTAGTATTTGGCGACTTCTAGGCAGAACAGAACCTTACCTTCGGAAGTGAACTGGTTTGCTCGAACAGGATCTTTCGGAGTGAAAGACGAGCCCCAGTATTTCAACAAACCGGTTCGATTTATGCTGAGAAAACCTTCCACATAATCGAACGAATTCTTGATAGAAATTAAGTGCTCTTGGTCGTTAGCGAACGTGGAGAAGTCTTCGTAAAGTACTCTAATCCACTTAACCTGTTACAGGACTCTTATAATTATGTTTAGAATTTTTTTTGGTTAATGCATGATTTTATTAATATTTGAGATTATTATTATTATCACCATTTTAGGAGCAGGCTCTAAGGCGATTTGCGCTCGGGTAATAACACCGAATTGTCCAAGCCCGCCAAGTACAGCATGGAAAAGGTCTCTGTTTTGATCCTCGGAGCAATTTTCAATTTCTCCCTTGCCTGCATCGTAATTATTCGAGATTTATTTAATTGATTTTTAAATGTGTAAAAAGAAAAAAAAAATACTGTATTTAACCTGTGACAACTTGTAGTTGGTACACATTGTTGATCTGCGGCCCGTGTTTAAAAGCCTGTCCACTTATTCCAGCGTTGGACAAAGTTCCCCCGACAGTTAGATGAAGATAATCGGTCCACGATTTTGGCGCAAAGCCTCTCTTTAAGCTCTCGTGCAGAATATTTATCCAAAGCTCACCAGCTGGTACATCCACGTACGGTTTTTTGCCACCCAAGTGATGAAAGTGCATTCCGAGCCCACGAAGTGATTCCATGCCGATGACAATACCTTGTTGGGCCTGGGCCTGGCCCTCCAAAGAATGGCCGTGGCCTCTGGCGGCTACTGTTATATCTGAGGTTAGGCCCAACTCGTAAATATGCTTTATTAAAGAGGAGATATCGGAGACTGATTTTGGGTGTAGAACGGCCCAGGGAGTGTAGTGGCATCTGTTGCCAAAGTCCTTAGCCGCATGCTCGTTGTTTTCGAAGGATAAATGGCCGTCGAACGTGATTTTTGCTATGGATGAGAGTGCAATAGATTGGATGGTTTGGGTTTGGTGGGGCATTTTTGAGGTTATTAGAAGAGAGTTGCTTGAGGTTGAGAAAAAGTGGTCACTTTTGGTTATGAAACTAAGTAAGAGAGCTAGAAAAAGTAGGGTTAGAGCCTTTTGCTTGAAGAAGTTATGGGGTTCTGCATGAAACATGCTTTTACTTTTGTTTTTTTTTTGAAATCTTGAAGTGCTTTTGTGTGTGTGTGTGTGTTTGTGAATGTGTTTTTTTAAGCACATTCTTTAGCTTCTTAGTGGAGATATATATAGGCAAAGGAAAAGAGGGATTTTGCTCACCTTTTGTCCTTTCTTATTGTCCCAACAGACTTTTCACAGGCGGGTTGACCAGTCATACTTTAAAAAACATTATGAAAGAAAATATGGCATTTCTTTGAAAAATGTATGACATGTCAACCTGCCTAGCGGTTAGGCCGTCTTATTACAATTACTAGGAGAATTTGTGTCCTTTTTATTACAACTATTTTTTTCTTTTTTATTTTTAATGAAAGGAAAACTGTGTCATTGTCTTGTTGAATACAGTACTTAGGCTGTTTTGAGCAAAGATATTGGTACAAATAGATCAACCAGCAGATGATATATGTTTTGGGAATTTAGTGATTTTGGTTCTTTCCAAGATGATTCTGTTGGTTGCAGTACGTGCATTACTCGTGGAGATCAAAAACTTTGTTGATGCTGTAAATAAATAAACAAAATTGCATGAGAAGTAGAAGCACTTTCAGATTCTAAGTGAAGCAATTTTAGCGTTTTAATTTTGAGGACTTGAAATTTCGGGTGATATAAGAATTTTGATTGATGTTTTTGCTGACCCCATTCTAACCGTTACATCTGTCATTTTGCTATACTTTTTGAACATAAACTATGGTTACTTGACCATTAGGTTTGTCCAACTTCATCCTCTCGAGGAGGATTGAAGTAAGAAGAAGCAAATTGCATGAGACGTAGAAGAAGAAATATCTCCCGATTCTAAGGAAATCAATTTTAGCGTTTTTTACGAATATTTTGTGCAACTCCATTACTATAGCCGATGGAGAAGGAACACACATATTATTGTTAAGACTGTTTAACTCTTAGACATGGCGATCCATTACTTTTTGAACCAAAATGCACAACTATAATATAAAATATCATTGCTTT